GCCTCCGTTGTTGTGTGAGAGAATTAAAAAGTTCTGCCCGTTCACGTATTCGTTGAATAATGAGAATGACAATTCACGAATTAACCATCACAGCTGACTTTAAGTCCCACGATAAAAACACGGGGCGCTTCTGATATCTCTTGTTCGACACGGTCTCTTCTTAAGAACCGAATCTCCTCGGTGGCGTCAGACTGTTGCGTGTCTGTGTCACCATCGCCACACATATATTTGTGAACGCCGGGATTCGAGTAAACTCATTCTCGCAAAGTGCCTGTCTTTAGGCAGGTCTCGAACCTTTCGCGGCTCCTGAATTATCTCTTTCCCGCATGCTTGGGTAGCAATAACGTTCGGCCCTCACTTGGCCACGAGCAACATCAGCTCTGCCCCAAAAATGCCCTTGCATCCTCTGATTGTAGTCTCCCCTTGTTATTGCTATCGATTTATCTGTCTACGATAGGCAGCGATTATCTGAGCGACGGGTCCCTGTTCGAATCCGATCGCGGGTAATAGGTGTCGGTAATTTCTTGGTTAGTGAGACCAGTGGGTGACACCTAGTGAGTCTTTTTATATGTATAATGTTGTATCGGGTTGGTGGAGCCAGTTTGTATCATTGGGGCCGGCTAAAACTAGTGAGTGTGGGATTTGTTGAGCGCAATTTAGAGACAACAAACGGCCGCGTTGAGACGGAGAGCGAGAGACGAGAGAGGAAGAGTGAGAGGTGGGCTGGTCTCTTCGTGACCGCAGCGATTTGCGCCGGCGTCTGGCGGTACGGGCGGGTTAGTGTGTGTGTATAGATGCTTACCCTCTCAGGCACGGGCACAGAGGACGGGGCGTGCACGGCGCGGTCGGTGCGGCCGCGACGGTCGGCGGTTAGCTGTCGACGTTGATCGGTTCTTTTCCGTAGACGAGCCATTTCGGACAGCGAGTGCTTGTAGATGGGCGGGCGACGTCGAGCAGGATGGTCGGATGCAACGCCCCCCTGCTCGTACTGTAAGACCGCCGGTGTCGGGCTCGGGCTTCTTGGTTGCGCCCCAGGCCTGCTCGTCCGATGCACGTATCTCTGCCGCTGCGCAGACAGCCACTGTGCGGAAGGTAGCTTGGCCGCTACGTAGTGCCTGTGGAAGACATGGAGGCTTACATGAGCCAGGATGTCTAAAGCACGATCTCTCTTCTGTCTCTCTTCTCTCTTCTCTCTCTTCTCTCTCATTATATACTATATTATATATTATATATATTATATATATATATATATAATATATTATATATTATTGAGTTCTCGTTCTCTCGCTCTGTATATACCTACCTATATATATATATATATATAATATATATTATATAATACATATCTATGGTATGTAAATCCGGATAATTTCATGATCAATAATAGATCATACATATAAACTAGTTTATTGTATAGATCGGTGGGTTTAAACCAATTGGAACGAATTCGCAGGAGACACAGGACAGGGTGACAGGCAGGGTAAATAGAGAGATAGATTTACTTGCGCGATGACGAATCGTGATGCGCCAAACCCGCATAACAACGACAATATCCGACGATTAAAACACAAACGTCGACAATATCCGACGATAAACCGACGATAACGACAATATCCGACGAACAACCGACGATAACCGACATATCCGGACGATAAACCGACGATAGACGACAATATTCCGACGACAACGACGATAACCGAACAATTATACTGACGATAACCGACGATAGCCGAACGAATAGCCGACGCTGCCCGACGGTTACCGGCGTGACGGATGTACTGCATTATATGCCAGACACCGAACCGACGCTTCATGCTCTGTGTAATTATATTCACACCACTCACGTACCGCGCTGTTTATTCACTTCAATCAATTCCTTTATTGCAGCTCGCGGGTCGCGGTAATCGTGGGCAGCAACAATGCGAGCCGAGAAAAATGCAGCAGCACCGATCGAGCACGCGGCGGATTTAACGCGGTAACTTAATAATAACCCCAGAGGACACTCCAAGCATCCTCCTGCGAGATTTCTCCCGTGCACCACACACAACGCACCCACAACACACACGCGAGCAACACACACACGTAGTGCACGCACGCACACACACGACACACACCACACACACCCACACACAACACACACCACACACCACACACCACACACACACGAGAGAGAGAGAGAGAGAGAGAGAGAGAGAGAGATCGGTGCTTTAGATCATCTGGCTCATGTAATCTCATGTCTTCCACAGGCACTACGGTAGCGCCAGCTACCTTCCGCACAGTGGCGTCTCGCAGCGGCAGAGATACGTGCATCGGACGAGCAGCCTGGGGCGCAACCAGAGCCGGCCCGACCCGGCGGTCTTACACTACGAGCAGGGGGCGCTGCATCCGACCATCCTGCTGCCGACGTCGCCCGCCATCTACAAGCACTCGCTGTCGAATGGCTCGCTACGGAAAGAACCGATCAACGTCGACAGCTACCGCCGACCGTCGCGCCGCACCGACCGCGCCGTGCCACGCCCGTCCTCTGTGCCCGTGCCTGAGAGGGTAAGCATCTATACACACACACTACCCGCCCGTACCGCCAGACGCGGGCGCATCGCTGCGGTCACAGAGACCAGCCCACCTCTCACTCTTCCTCTCTCTCTCTCGCTCTCCGTCTCACGCCGTTTGTGTCTCTATTGCGCTCACAATCTCCCACACCACTAGTTTTACCGCGCCCAATTGAACAACTGGCTCACCAACCCGATACAATATACATAAAAAAGGCTCACTAGGTGTCACCACTGTCCACTACCAAGAAATTACCGACACCTTATTACCGCGATCAATTTCGACAGGGGACCGTCGCTCAGATAATCGCTCCCTATCGTAGATAGATAACGATAGCAATAACAAGGGAGAACTAAATCAGAGGATGCAAGCATTTTTGCAGACTGATGTTGCTCGTGCCAAGTGGGGCCAACGTTATTCTACCAGCATGCGGGGAAAGAGATAATCATGGGAGCCGCGAGGTTCGAGTACTGCCTAGACAGGCACTTTGCGAGATGAGTTTACTCGATCCCGGCGTAAAAATAATGTGTGGGCGATGGTGACACAACGCAACAGCTGACGCCCCGAGAGATCGGTCTTAAGAAAGACGTGTCGAACAGAGATTATCAGAACCCGTGTTTTTACGTGGGACTTGAGTCACTGTGATGGTTAATTCGTGATTTCATTCTCATTATTCAACGAATACGTGAATGGGCGACTTTTTATAGTCATTGTAGTAGGTGTAGCAGTAGCAGTGGCATGGGAGTAGCAGTAGCAGTAGCAGTAGAAATAGCAGTAATAGCAGCAACAGAAGCAAAAAAGAGACGTGGAATATAAGTAGTATCAACAGCAGCTTGCATCGGCATAATGATCGTTAGCAGCAGCACTGTTGTGGTTGCTTTTATTATTATTATTATTGTTATTATTATTATTATTATTGTTATTAGCATCATCAGTAGTGTCAACAGCAGCTTGGATCAGCATAATGATCGTTAGCAGCAGCATTGTTGTGATTGCTGTTATTATTATTATTAGTATTATTATTATTATTATTATTATTATTATTTCCAAAGTGGATCACGGCATTAGCCGGTGGCTTCTGGGTTGACCGTGTCCCGCCCTGGGACATAGGGATTCAATCCAGACTTTTTCGCAGAATGTGTGCTGTTCTCAGTAGTGCGATTTTCTGCACTTCTTTAGCAGTGTGGTGGCCAGGGAGTTCCTTAAGGTTCTTCTCAAAACCATTCTTTATAGAGCCAACCCTTATTATTATTATTATTATTATTATTATTATTAATATTATTATTATTATTATTATTGTTAGCATCATCATCATTCATTATTATTATTACGTGTTCAGGCTATTTGTATGCACCAACCCCGCTTTTTCCGTGCATCTCTCTTCACTTAATATTTTAGTAGAAACCAATTTACACGCTGTACTGACACGATATCTGGTCGGGCTGCCGAGTGTCACGGGAAATGTGATGGGAACATCCAAACAAATATGGAAAATCCTTCGCGCATCTTTACGGCTTTCGGGCGGAGCTTAGGCGCGACGGAATTCGCATTAAACGTGTTGTGAGCTGTGCTGATCGTACGTGATTCCAACAGAGCATCCCGTCACGGACGCGCACTCATGACGTCGGACAAGTAATGCGATTAACGCTTCCTTCACCCACTGTATAGGAGGAGCAGCCGAGATTAATTCGTAAGCCAACGCTGTCGCTACTCTTCACGTGCAATGTCCGCGTTTTCTGCATGTTAGATTCACCGTAGCAACTTGTCGTTGGCGTAGTCATCGCCACGGCGGATCCGTACAGTGCTCCGAACGGCCATCATATCCCTAGCGAGCATATCCCAGGCTGTCAGAGTGACTGAAAAATTACTAGAGGTAATCATGTCCTTAAGTAAAGCGGTAAAGGTAAGCTTATAATGATAATATTTAATGGATATTCGGTGGGGGCCCATCGTAGGTTAGTGGCCTCCTGTTGCACTACTTTGCATCGCTGCCCCTGCGCCTCCCCGCATCTCTCCTCGCGATTGCGCTGTTCTCTTGCAGGTTGCCGTAGCTGTGTAAGCGTTACTACACACCTGGGAGCTACGCGCGAAGGCTTGTTTTCATCTCATCGCGTCGCCGCCTATTATGTATTCGCGACGTGCTCGCGTAGTTAACACGAATTCGTAATAAATTCGAGGGGGTGATTAGCTAATTAAAGCGATCCCGCGTCACAAGCTCGCGTCGGGTTTTGTCGTGACTAGACTACGCGCGAATGCAGCACAATGTGATGGTGAAATTAGATGCGAAATGTTTGAGCTGCGTGTGCGTGCGTGTTCTGAGTGCGTGCGTTTACGTGCATGTGGATACCCGGGCGTGTGAGTGCGTGCGTGCTGTGTACGCGCGTGTGTGCATGCATGCATGAATGCATGAGTGTCGAGTGTGCATGTGCATGCGCGCGCTTATGTGTGTGTGCGTGCGTAGGTGCGTGCGTGTGTGTGTGCAGAGTGACTTCTTAGATTCATTACAACCGGTCGTGTAACGAGTCATCGTGTACCACACACCGGGTCATTTACTCGCGTTAGAAGGATAGTTCGCATCCAACAACCTTCACTACCATTGCATCGACACCATCCGTCCGTGAGCCGCTGGTGAATGTCCAGTGATAACACGGAGCAAGCGGATGCCGGCAGAACGACGTAACGCGCGGGCGAAGTCAGCGGGAGCGTTAGCTACTGCTCACTGGAGGGTGTCCGCGGCCAGTAAACCTTGCAAAGGCGTAGTGAGCTGGCAGTTAGCTGCGCCGTCAGTATAACCAGGGAGCAGCCAGAAGAGCGGTTACACTTCCACCTTCTATGTCCGTCTGAGTGCATCGTACCGCATCGTCTTACACAAACACGCGTACACACGCACGCACGCAAGCAGGCAGGCAGGCGCGCGCACGTGCACACCCACGACACAACGGCACGCTACTTCTGAGAACGGTACGATCAAAGTTCGTTTGCTCACCCGTACGTCGTGCGACGAACCGCTGCAAGCGACGCGAACTCATCTGTACCGATCGACACCGACGACGACAGCGGCCGGAAACTCAGCTCTCGTCGCCTGCCCGATTGATATTTGACCAAGAACACAGCGGGTAAGTGTCGGTTTACACGTGTGTTTTACCTCGCAGTTGTAGTGCTATTTGTGTGTTTACGTCGTGTTATGGGCGCGCACGCACGCGCACACACACACACAAACACAAACACAAACACACACGCACGCACACACACACACACACACACACACACACACACACACACACACACACACACACACACACGACGACACACACAGCACGCTACGGCGCACACACACACACAGCACACACACACACACACACACAGTCACACCACCACACACACACCACAAACACACTCACAAAACACACAGCGCGCACACACATATGCTGCACACATGCACAGCACACACCCACACGACATACACAACACACACACAACCACAACACACCACACACACACACACACACACGCCACATTGCAATATATGCGCTGTAGGGTTACGGCATGGTTTCTCGAGTCTATATTGATATAAGTGCGTGTGGCTGTGGTTCGAGGCCTGCACTATCCCAATGGCCAGTGTTTTCTACCTGCTAGAAGAACATGCCGGACAGGGAATTCGCAACCATCGTTACTAATGCAGGTATACGACAGCACGAGCATAATTTTGTGGCGATGTCCATCTGTGCGTAGGTCCGCATTGCGCCAATATTACAGCCACGGGACCGTTAACGCTAACGCGACCGTACGCGGCGCACGTGGCTTATAATACCCAGCTCTATATTGCTCTACCCTTATTCCCCACTCTCATAGTCGGTATCATCTCTCTCACTCTCTCTCTCCTCCCATGTCCATCTCTCTCTCCTCATACTCTCTCTCTCTCACTCTCTCTCTTCTCTCTCTCTCTCTCTCTCCAACGTCTCTCTCTCCTCTCTTCTCTCTCTCTCTCTCTCCCTCTACATCATTCTCTCCCTCTCCTCTCTCTCTTCTCTCTCTCTTCTCTTTCTCCTCTCTCTCTCTCTCTCTCTTCTCTCCTCTCTCTCTCTCCCCCTCTCTCTCATCCTTTCCCCTCTCTCTCTCTCTGCTCTCTCTCTCCTCTCTCCTCTCTCATTCTCCCTCCGGTCTCCTCTCTCTCTATGTCGTCAATCAGCGACGTTTGCTATTACCGCGCACTGACGTTTTTCCGCCGCTGATGCCGCCGTCGCCTCCCGAAGCAATAGCAGCTTATTTGATTGCGTCGGATGCCTAGCCGACGAGAGAGCGAGGCATATTTACGGCGTAAGGAATGCGTCCGAAAGAGGTTGAAATGCAACCGCAGCGAGGTTTTCGAAGCTCGATACGCCAAATTCGAGTTGCAGCAGCAGTACAGCGCATGCCACTGGTGTCTCGAACAGGGCGCGTCTGTGAAGAGTTAGGGCGTGTCTGGGACGTGTGTGCGGTGTCTCCACCCGTGTATCTCCCCTCCGCGCTACGCGCAAGCAGTAGGCATGCACGACTCGAGACGGCGGCGCAGCTAGTAAACCATCATATACCAGCATTTTCGCACGAACGGCTGCGCGGCGGCAGTGGGAACGTTGTGCAGCGTTTTACACTGTGGGACGAACGCCAGCGTATTGCTGTTATGATCGCACGCACGGTCGACTCAGATAACGCCACGTCGATGGTTGATCTTGCCCGACAGCGAATCGGATCGGTTCTGCGTGGTTTCATATTGAATGGTGTGATATTCCTGGCAGACCGAGAGAAGAATATCTGATACACGCTACACCCAGGCGGGCGTAAGAATTAGTTCGAACGACACGAAAACGCTTTGTGTGATTGGCCAAGCAACGCATGTGTTTCTCGGTATAGGGCGAGAAGTGAGAGAAAGACTCATCGATGATAATGTTTGAAAGGCTCCGTATTTCGCAGCTTCATATAAGGCCATCTGTGGCATTAGATGCATCGCGCAAAAT